GATGCTGCTCTCCAAGCTGCCGGGCTGCATTCCTAGCTGCGTGCATGCTGCAGCTGCACACATGCACATGGCATCTATCGGAGACTTTACTGGCCGCAGCCAAAAGGAGCTGATTGCCAATAATATCAATTTTCTTTTTATTGGTGCTGATATGATACAGACCGATGTATCCATGCACCTCTAGCTGGATCTGTTTCAGACCAGTTTTATTTTCTAGCTCCTAGCAACCATTTCAGTGTGTGTTCTCAAGTGCAAGGGACTTTTTATAAAAATAAAATGATTTTTTGTAGGTTTTTTTTTTTTTTTAAATTCAAAGTTGTTTCCACAGCTTTTTAAGCTTATATTTACAAGAATCTAAATTTTGGACTTGCCAGTTTTTCTTTAAGTGTAGTGGCCATTAAGCCCTTGGTCAGTGATTCTGTTGACCTCCCCAGTCAGTGTCTATAATGAAGAATGTTTGTAACTGAGGCATTACACAAGTGATCTTAGATGAAAGAACTGCAGTATTCTTTCAGAGGGCAATGAAAATTGTTAGGAGACTGGGACACATGGCTTATGAGGAGAGGCTGAGGGAACTGGACTTATTTAGTCTATGGAAGAGGAGACTGAGAGGGAGTTTAGTAGCAACCTTCAGCTGAAGGGGGATTTGAAAGAGGATGGAGCTAGACTCAGAGGTGGTAAATGACAGAATAAGGAGCAATGGTCTTAAGGTGCAATAAGGTAAGTTAAAGTTAGATATTATGAAAAACTTTCCTACTAGGAGGGTCCTAAAACACTGGAAAAGGTTACTGAGAGAGGTTGTGGAATCTCCATCCTTGGAGGTTTTTAAGACCTGGCTAGACAAAGCCTTGGCTGGGATAATTATAGTTGGGGATGGTCCTGCTTTGAGCAGGGGGGTGGACTAGATGACCTCTGGTGTGTCTTCCAACCTTTATTTTCTATGATTCTGTTACCTTTGTGCAGTATATATGGGCTGTCAGAACTGCGTATTCCATTTTTTTCTTTGTTGCACTTAATTCCTATGTTTAATCTTTTGACAAGGCCTTATCATTGCAATTAGGAGGGAGGGAAAACAAATATACAAACCCAAGAAATGTGAAACTATTTGGTGTATGCCCAGATTACTCAACAAACCTTACAGCATGTCCATGTTGAGGTGGTAAGTTTATTTTTGCCCATGATGGAACTGTGTAGGAAACCTCCTCTTTTTCTTAACTTTAATAATGCCTAGAACTTGGTGTCTTGCATTGTAGCCCTCATCCTTTTAGCTGTGAGGGGCCTTGGGCAGGGCATCTGTCAGTTTCTGCTGAATGGCATAAGGCATTTGCTTTTAGTGGTTGTATGAGTTGGATGATTTTCAGAAACTGTTTGACATGATGTGAATTTTGCAACTGGCCTTAGGTGGGGACAAGATTTTGCCCTTTTCCTCTTCACAACCAAGAGCCTGGAATCTGAAGACAAAGCTGAACCTCCTGCCTGGAAGCACAGAGCATTCATCCTGAAGTATTAGATTGTTGTTTTTTGTCAGAAGTTAAATGTTAGGTTCTTAAATTGAATTTGCAATGCACCTATAAATTATGCATAATAAATGCGTACACAAATAATGATTAAAAAATACTGTTGTCTTTCTATTGCAAAGGCCTCTGTGTGCATTAACAGGGTAACAAACAAATCAAATTACTAGGGCAGTACATTCAAATTAATAAATAAAGTGAATAGCAGAAAGGATCAAAAGAGAAATCCACATGATTGTTAAGCAGTAAAATCTCAGAAGCCCAGGACAGTGTGTGGATAAAGATGGATGCAGTTATCACAGCTGCAGGCAATTGATATAATTAGGCACACAGTTAGGCCCTATGCTTCTGAGTACTGGAAAATCTGGCCTAATATGTCTTTTCCATCTCTCATTTCTCTGATTCTTTGAGATAATTGTGCTGAGTGGGGTGTTTACTGCATTTCTTTTTGAGTACATGCTGCCCTGAATTAGACCCACACAGATAAATAGGTAGGTAGGTAAATGCAGGGCTTGTTTTGACATGGGAGTGATTTGGGGTGAACTCAGTTGATTAGTCAGGCACTGCCTGCAGTATAACTGGTATTCTCCCTTCACCATCATTTGGTCTGATCTCTCATTTCTGTTTGTGATCAGGCGAACCGAGATGCGGTAATTAGCCGTGCTCCTGACCAGAAGGATGATCGAGCTGTCAGCCTCCAGGATGCTTCTGCAGTTTATGACCTTCTGAGTATCACGCTGGGCAGAAGAGGGCAGTATGTCATGCTTTCTGAGGTACCCAAGCTGGTTGTTACTGGAACTTCAACCTAAATCTTGCAAACAGAAACTGTCTTTTGAATGATAATCATTGAATGCAGGTGGGGGAAGTGAGTAGGAAACCTTAGTACCTGAAAACTGATGAAAACTGTCAAATCTGTGTAAGCTCTGACCAAAAACTTACACATCTGCGTGACTTGTTTAGGCTTCTGAATCTATGCTTTTACACTGAAATAAAATGGGCCTGATTTGAAGAGGTGCAAAGTACCTGCAGTTCTCATTACTTTAGAAGGGAAATCAAAGAGTATTTCCAGACAAGGCCATCAGTAAGGCACATCAAATGATTTGTGCCTTTGAGCTATGCCAGAGCCAGTGTATATGACAATGAATTAACATAGGGTGAAAGATATGTCCCTTATTTCTCTCAATTTTTCTTTTAGTGCTTGGAGCGAGCATTGAAGTTTGCATTTGATGAATTTCACCTCTGGTACCAACTGGCTCTTTCCATGGTAGCTTGTGGCAAGGTAAGGCTCAAATTAGACAAGCTAACAGGGCATGGATTTCTCCTGAACAACATTTTTGTTTTAGTTTGGGGTGTGCAAAATCACTTATTTTATATGGGCAAACATATAAAGCTTTTGTTATAGCTTAACACTGTCTGGTGAGGTTTAGGTTATTCTTTATTGCCAGATGTGTACTGTGAATCAACACGATAGGATAACAGTTGTTTGACTCTCAATGTCAAATGGGAAACCAAGCTTGATTTATTAGCTCTAGCCACTAGAGATATCAGAGTAACTTACATAACCCTTTTCCACATACTCAAAATAAATTGTTTGTGAAGAATAGGGAACTGGAGGAAGAGATGCTTGGTATCTGATAGGAACTCCATCACCACCAACTTTGTGGCTTTGGGCAAGTCACTCTTGAAGCCTTAAGTTACCCATCTGAAAAAGGGAATGTCATTACTATTTGTTCCAGAGGGATACCGTGAAGTATTAGGCAGTCAGTATTAGCAAATGGCTTTGAAACCCTCAGATGAAAGGTACTACAGAAGAGAAAAGATTTTGTGGGGTGGGTGTGGGCATGCACACACGTATGAGTTCTAGAATTATTTTAGTTGTAAAACTCAGGTTGGAGAAGTATAAACTTTTCGTTGTTTCTTTGGCAGAACGCCTTGCAGGGGCGGATCCAGGATTTGGCAAAGGGGGTTGCAGGAGCAGCCACCCCTGCTCTGATCCTCCTTCCCACCCATCCACCTTCCTTTCTTCCTTCTTCTCCCCTCCCCCCCGCACCACGGTAGCCTCTGGGCTCCCAAAGCAGGTAATAACTACCCCCCACTTGCCCTCCATGCTATGGTCAAAGGCATGTCCTGTCCCCTCCTCCAATCCTGCTCCTGCTTCCCATGCTTTCCCAGGAGCAGGAAAAGCTTCCAAGTTGTTCTAGCCAGGGTGCATGGGAGCTGGGCTCAAATGGGAATAGTAGTAATGGCAGCAGGGGTTCCTCCACCCTGCCCAAACTCCCCCACCCCCAGGAGCAGGCACAAGGAGGGGGATCCCCCACCCCCCATTCCATCCTCGATGCTGCTGTGGCTGTTCCCAGCTGAGCCCAGCCCATAGTCTGGCTGGTGCAAGCCAAAGGTGCTTTGAAGCTTCCTCTACCTCTGGGACAGTGGGGAAAGCAGCAGCAGTGGGGTGGGGAAGGGGACGTGTCTTTGAGAACAGAGGGGAAGAGCAGGGGGATTCTGACCTGCTTTGGAGATTTAAAAAAAAGCCCCCAGAGACTCCTGTGGTTTGGTACAGTCCAAAAGTGGGGAGCTGCTGAGGTATTGCACCCCCTCTGGATCCACCCCGACTCCTTTGCATGAGTGAGTAGACAATTTGGGTGTGTTAAACCCATTCAGTCTGGTCCTTCTGCTGTGAATCCTAGTAGGGGAAGCAAAACTGATAGGAGGGTCACGATGGTTGTTCAGCAATGCAGCCATCTCATGAAGAATTTGACTTCCAGTTGGAGGACGAAGAGGCTGTCACATGGTATCTACATTTAGCCATGGCAAAGTTGAGCTAGATTTAGAGAAGCCTTGGTGAAAGGCTTCTCATCTCATTGCTGGTGCCCTGAAGTAGCAAATTTCCTCTTACTTTAAGGGATGGAGTATGATTTTTGTGATCATGACACAAGATTCATACTCAGAATTTCTGAGTTCTTATTTCCAGCTGTCACAGGTATGCAATGTAACATGTTTCAGTAATCTTTGTGCCTCAGTTTCCCCACCTGTAATAGTGGGGCAATAATAATTCTAGTCTGCCACAAAATATTTTGCATGAGTGTTAATATTTAGTGAACTCTTATTTAATGAAAAGTAGTTATAAAGAAAAAAATCTAAATATTTTCAGTTGTAAGCACAAATATGCATAAATGGCATTGTACATCTTGCTAGTTATATTGCATCTCTCATATACTGGTCATCTTCCTTGGATCTCTTGAGCATATTTGAACAACTACTCCTGTCCTTGCAGTAGCAGGGCATTGACAGTGTTTTCATCACCCTACTTTATTTGCGGCAAGTTAGGGTATTTTTGATATTTTGGTCATTGTGCGTCTCAGTTATATGAGAGGGTTCCCCATGAAGTTTTTAAGAGTAGTTAGGCAAGTGCTTGTCTTGGTTGGCTGGATGAGCAGGGGATTAGACTAGATAACCTCCTGCGGTCCCTTCC